GGCACAGCCGGCCCTGACCTGCCACCTGCCCCCGCCTCTTCACACCTGCGAGATGCCGATGCTCGGGCCCGGACCTAGGCGCGCCCGTAAGTTGAACTTGCCTGGTCCCCTGGGTGATGCTGGAGCAAACACACCCAGTGTCAGGACAGCAGCGGCTGAGAACGCACACGCTGGCTTCCTAATGCCGAAGGGCACCCCCCTGAACTAGTTCGGGGAGGGGAGCGAGGGGGAGGAAGAAGTGCTGGGAACTTCCTTCTCCTTCCGCAACTCGCTTTCCGGGCCCCCACGTCGTGCGCAACCCCGGCTCTAGGTGGAGCCCGCGGCGCTACCTCGGGCGAGGTCCGGGCGAGGTCCGAGGACGCAGCGGCTCGTGGGCTGCGCACTTGCCTCTGCACTTCGCCGCTTTGGTTTCCAGCAGCGACTGACTGTGCTTTGGCTCAAGCGGCGAACAGCCTGCCCATCCCCCCTAATCCTCCGCAAAGTTCTAACAACCGGAGAAAAGGGTCCGGGCGCGTGCGCTCCGCGCCCACCTCTCCCAGGTGCGCGGTGATGGTGGACGAGGCCCCTCTGTCCTTTTCGGGGTAGCCTCGGGGACAGAGAGAGGGAAAGAGAGAGGAGAGAGAGGGAGAGAGGGAAACAGAAGACAGAAGAGAGAGAAAGAGGAGGCGTATGGGGAAGGAGGCTGGAGCTTGGCTGTGACCCTACAACAGGGCTAAGACTAGTAATAATCCCCCTTCCTGATCCAGCCCCTTCCCCAGGCGCGAGGCTGTGGCGCCCCCTGGCGGAACCAGCTGCCCAGCGCGCGGCGTCCTAAAATGGATCGCGAGCCTGCTAACCTGCTACTTACACGTCTGTTCAGTAACTATCGCTTCTTTCTACAGAGGACTTCATTTCCCTCACGCTGCTTTCTCCCCGGGGACCTCTCCTAAAACTCGGAGCAGTTCATTGCAATTTCTTGTGTACTGCTTTTCAGGATTGAGAACTTTATAAATACACTAGAGGCCCGATGCACGAAAATGGGTGCAGGAGTAGGCCTTCCTTCCCCGGCTGCCTGCAGGCACCCAGATCGGCTGGTGGACTGGCTTCCCTCCAGCACCCCGGATGGGCTGCTTCCCCCCTCCGGCTGCCCGGAGGTACCCCTACCGGTCTGGCTTCCCTCTGCCCCAGCTTGGTGAGGAAGGATGTCCAGTCTAATTAGCACATTACCCTTTTATTATAGATAATGTCCCAACCTCATAAATGTCTGTGAGGAGCAAATGAGGTAAAAAGAAATGCAAATTATTCTTTATTTTTCCTCGTATTCTTCATCTCTTTCGCTTAGGGACCGCCAGGAAGCTGAAATGAATCTGCCCTTATATTTCTCTCTAATGGATTTCTTTCCACTGGGAGCTATGGATTCCACGTGCTTTATTCCTTAGTCCCAGACAGCACCTGGTAGTTAGGTGAACCTGGTCAATACCTGGTTCTGGAATCACAAGGGAGTCGGGCCAGCAACCTTTATTTCGTGTCCACGGAAGGGAGATGAAAGTGGAGTAGGAGAGAGGATGGACACTTTGTCCAACCATCTGCAGTGTGCCTCTCAGACACGAGGGCAGAGCCTTCACCAGACCATGGTCATTGACTACTTTTTAAAAAAGGTGTTTTTTTGTTTTTTTTTTGGGATGAATTCAAAACAGGAATGAAATTTCTACAAATACTTGTTTCCTATGGCTTGGTGTTAAGTGTGAGGAAAAGTATTAGTGTCACCATCAGGTTTTGTTTACTTAATTTAATGGGCATTAATCAATTTCTCAATTACTTTGGTTCAAAATACATTTTTGAAAATATGTGGAAGGGGAAAACTCTCTCTTGGGTGGGGCTATGCAAACTCCCTCTCTGATTTTGGTGAATGAGAATTGCTTCTTTAGCTCTCAAAGTTATTAGGGGAAATGGGATAATACATAACTATAAGTTTAGAAAATGTAAATTTAGAAACCTACCTTGGTGACCAATAATAATACATTGTTCAAAATTCAGTTTTTCATCTCCAGTACATGTCAGATGATGGACATTGTGGCATTTGAACAGTCCTCTGCCAGTGAGCCTCAGAGGGCCTCTTGGAAATCATCGTAGTATTTCTCAGGTTTCTTGGAAACATTTTATTGATTTTTTTATGACTCAAAAATTCTTTTATGAATTCTCAGTAATTTTTTAAAATATATTTTTATTGATTTCAGAGAGGAAGGGAGAGGGAGAGAGAGAGAGAAACATCAATGATGAGAGAGAAACATTGATCGGCTGCCTCCTGCACACCCCCTACTGGGGATCGAGCCCACAACCTGGGCATGTGCCCTTGGCCGGAATCAAACCTGTGACCTTTTAGTCCACAGGCCTATGCTCTATCTACTGAGCCAAACCAGCCAGGGCTCTCAGTAATTCTTAAAAATTGAAGTTTTAAGCTTAGAATAGCAGCTAGACCATCTAAGGGGATGAACACAGAGTAAAGTGGTCACAAACAGACCCAGGTACAAGAATCCGGATTTAACCCACTGCGTGGGAAAACATATTTGCCAACGTCATATCTGATAAGGGCCTAATCTCCAAAATTTATAGGGAACTCATACAACTTAACAAAAAGAAGATAAACAATCCAATCAAAAAATGGGCAAAGGATCTAAATAGACACCTTTCAAAAGAGGACATTCAGAAAGCCAAGAGACATATGAAAACATGCTCAAAGTCACTAATCATCCGAGAGATGCAAATCAAAACAACAATGAGGTACCATCTCACACCTGTCAGAATGGCTATCATCAACAAATCAACAAACGACAAGTGCTGGAGAGGATGTGGAGAAAAAGGAACACTCGTGCACTGCTGGTGGGAATGCAGACTGGTGCAGCCACTATGGAAGACAGTATGGAGTTTCCTCAAAAAGCTGGAAATGGAACTCCCATTTGACCCTGTGATCCCACTTCTAGGAATATATCCCAAGAAACCAGAAACACCAATCAGAAAGGATATATGCACCCATATGTTCATAGCAGCACAATTCACCATAGCTAAGATCTGGAAACAGCCTAAGTGCCCATCAGTAGATGAATGGATTAGAAAACTGTGGTACATCTACACGATGGAATACTATGCTGCTGTAAAAAAGAAGGAACTCTTACCATTTGCAACAGCATGGATGGAACTGGAGAGCATTATGCTAAGTGAAATAAGCCAGTCAATGAAGGAAAAATACCACATGATCTCACTCATACATGGATAATAAAGACCATTACAAACTTTTGAACAATAATAGATACAGAGGCAGAGCTGCCTCAAACTGATTGTCAAACTGCAGTGGGAAGGCCAGAGAGGGTTGGGGGGCAGAAGGGAGGGGAGTAAGAGATCAACCGAAGGACTTGTATGCATGCATATAAGCAAAACCAATGGACATAAGACACTGGGGGGGTAGGGGAAGCCGGGGGGGGGGGGGGGGGGGAGGGAAAGGACACATATGTAATACCCTTTGTAATACTTTTAGCAATAAAAAAAAAAAGAATCTGGATTTGAAACTCATCTGCCTTCATAAACTCAGTAACTGTACTCTGACATCCTGTAGGCCCAGATGGGGAGATCCATCTGTCCACCGTGTCAGCCCCGCACAGGCCGATCTGGAGCTGCCTTGGACCTCTGGGTAGGACTGCTGGACAAATATACAAACATCACTGTGTTGTGTTGCATCCTGTTATAGCCCGTGATTGATTAAACAGGACTCACTAGTTCCGTTTCACCCTGGCTTTCTAAATCAGTGGCTAAACTGTTGTATTGTTATTTCTAGGTTGTAGCCTTCAGATTAACATGTAGAAGTCCAGAATGTATGTCTCAAACTTCCTTTTTATGCTGTGTCTTCAGTAGAATAAAGATGCAAGTAGTCACATTAAAAGTAGAGTTTATTTACCTCATTGTATCACAGAGGTTTTAACTCAGTGTTGAATTCTTGCAATCTTCGTGTAAACTGTTATTTGGTTATACCACTTCTGGTATTTAAAAATGTCTGTTTGGTCTTTAGTTAAATTGGTCAAGTTATGTAAGACACATGTTTAGGCTTTCTTTTGTGCAATGCAGACTCTGTTAGTCCACCCTGAGAGAAGCGCAGTTTGAAATAAAAGCTGATGCATTCTGTGTCATATGTGAATATTCTATTGTGAGAACACTGGAATCCATATTCAATCACTTTAGTGTATATGCATTCTTAATTTTTAAAATACTGCCTTCATGCCCTAGCTCAATGGTTCTCAACCTTCTGGCCCTTTAAATACAGTTCCTCATGTTGTGACCCAACCATAAAATTATTTTCATTGCTACTTCATAACTGTAATGTTGCTACTGTTATGAATCGTAATGTAAATATCTGATATGCAGGATGGTCTTAGGTGACCCCTGTGAAAGGGTCGTTCAAGCGCCAAAGGGGTCCCGACCCACAGGTTGAGAACCGCTGCCCTAGCTGGTTTGGCTCAGTGGATAGAGTGCTGGCGTTCAGACTGAAGGATTCCAGGTTCAATTCCAGTCAAGGACACATACCTTGGTTGAAGGCTCAATCCCTGGCCCTGGTCTGGGTTCATGCAGGAGGCAACCAATCGATGTGTCTCTCTCACACTGATGTTTGTCTCTCTCTCTCTGTCTCTCCCCTTCCCTTCCACTCTCTCTAAAAATCAATGGAAAAATATCCTCGGGTGAGGATTAACAAAACAAAAATAAAATAAAATACTGTCTTCATGAACAAGTTACTCAATGGCCCTATTGGTTTGGCTCAGTCGATAGAGTGTCGGCCTGCAGACTGAAGGGTCCCGGGTTCAATTCCAGTCAAGGGCACATGCCTAGGTTGCAGGCTCGATCTCCAGTATGGGTTGTGCAGGAGGCAGCCAAACAGTGATTCTCTCTCATCATTGATGTTTCCATCTCTCTCTCTTTCTTCCTTTCTGAAATCAATAAAAAAATATTTTTTAAAAAAGTTATTCAATGGCCAAAGCCGGTTTGGCTCAGTGGATAGAGCGTCGGCCTGCGGACTGAAAGGTCCCAGGTTCGGTTCCGGTCAAGGGCATGTACCTGGGTTGCGGGCACATCCCCGGTGGGGGATGTGCAGGAGGCAGCTGATCGATGTTTCTCTCTCATCGATGTTTCTGGCTCTCTATCTCTCTCCCTTCCTCTCTGTAAAAAATCAATAAAATATATTTTAAAAAAAAAAGTTATTCAATGGATAAGCAGTAAATAAATAGGAGCGATTTGACAGGACAAGTTTACAAATTAAATACTCCCTCTTGGTTTTGGTTGATTGTGAAAATGATATATAACTGCTGACTAGCACAAAAATTCTAGAACATATGCTGGGGCAGTAAGAGGATGTTATGTTGTTATCATATAATCACAAACCCCATTTCTTGAATATTTGAGCAGCTTGTGTGGTGAGTGATTGCATATTAGCACCACTAATTGCATATTAGCAGACATGGCTCAGATGCATGCAAGGCAGAGACTCTAACTGACACCACAGCAATTTAACCTAGTGAGGAATAACTGGAAAGGAGCCAGGGGAAGACCAAATATTATAATCACCAATCTGTCCGCTGCTGGGGAAAGGGACTGGACAGGGGGAAGAACAGACCCATGCCCAGTAGAGTCTGGGTGACATGGGGAAGGTACTGGCCTGTCAGTCACCCCTGGGGACAGTCATTGGCCAGGGTAGATGTGGCCACTGCAAGCACGGGAAGATTTGAGATACTTAAGCTCCTAAACAAAGGAGTTTGCTCTCTTGAGTCCTGGCTTGCAAGAGCTCTCACGCTCCTACATTAATGGACTAATGGACTACAACTAGTCTGATGCTGTACCCTACTCAATTCCCCCATGGAATGGAAACTTCGGGTGCTGGCTTTGCTGCTAGCTCTACTCACTCCCCAGCTACACATCTCCCAGGACTGGATTAAGGGAAATGGGACTTTGAAAACCCAGAGATGTAACTCCATGCAAATAAAAATCACTCACCTTCCCTCGATATCGTACGGCTCTGGCCCCCAGCACCCAGTGGGGTGAGGGATACCCCCCTTTCACCAATAACATAACCAGAAAAACCCTCCCACTTACTGAAAACTCTCCTTTCCTCAGCAACATGCTGGGGAAAAACAGCAAACAATATCCTACCACACACGGCAATCAGCTGTGCTTGTCCACATTAAGGAAGAGATCAGAGAATGCTTCACATAATTGTCTTAGATTGAGCGGATTTGGGTCTGGCACTTTGGTCTCCACTGTATATACAGAGAAGTGAGACACAAGGAAGTGGATCGACTTGACCAGACCCACAAACACCAATCAGGACCAACCAGAGCCACCTGTTTCCTCTTCTAGAAATTGCTTCAACCTATTCCAGCCGAGAGGAAATTGGTTGCCAGGTATAATTTGATATTACTAGGTCATAGAAAACATGGATGTCTTTGAAATATTTAATGGATCAGGCAATATATACTTAATACTACATCATGTGGTACAAAGGGAGGAAAAGATTTGATAGTAAAACGTCAGCCCTATCTCAGAGAAAGTGGATGGCATTGTTAAAGATCTTTTAAGAATAAAATTTCCTTGGCCAGGGCTGGCTGCACTCAGAGCTGAACTACAAAAGTACCACATTCGTTATAATCTGCATGTTCTATGCACGTGGGGTTGTGCGCCAGGGAGTACCGTTTCTGTAGAACAGAGCTAAGGGTCTCTCTGTTTCCATAGAACGGAGTTTTGTCTTGGGTAACATTGACCTTGAATTTAGGGCAAGATACATCTATTTATTTATACCATAAATCATAAAGTTACATGAAGATATATCAACTAAAATTTAAAAAGGGAAGAAAAGTTAAAATGACATCTCTGAGAAGCTCTTAAAATGGGTGAACTGCATGTTCCCCACAAGCCAGAACTGGATTAAAGGATTTCTTCAAATACCTACTGGCAGTGAGAGTAGATTGCATTCCACAAAGGCCTCAAGTGAGTCCTGCACACACAGGTGCCCAGGTTTCCGTGAAACCTGGATCATCTGAAGAAGACTGAGCGGCCAGAAGTGGTGCCTGAGGGTGAGTCGATGACTGCACTAACCAGGCCGCTGCACACCGTGGAGAGTGGGTAGAAGTTCACCGTTAAATTGCACATGGTCAGCAATGTAGAAGAAATGGTTAGTGGTCCCCAAAACAGGGACTTACCATTTGTGGATACTAAATAGTAACAAAAAATAGATGTAAGTGGCTCATCCATTTGACAAGTTATTTTGCTTTAAACAGCAATGAATTATAAGAGACTATTGAGTATAGGTGATATGAATGAAGCAATCACATTAGAAAAGGTACATTTACACCTGTAAAAGTACCAAATGTATTATCCATATTCTCCTACACCAGTGGTTCTCAACCTTGGCTGCACATAAGAATCACCTGGGAATCTTTTTAAAATCCTGATTTCTGGGCCTCATCCTCCGGAAATTCTGTTTCTTTGTTATGGGTGAGGCCACAACATTAGTAACAAAGAAACAGAATTTCCGGAGGATGAGGCCCAGAAATCAGGATTTTAAAAAAAATTCCCAGGTGATTCTAATGTGCAGCCAAGGTTGAGAACCACTGTCCTATAGGATGTTGTTTTTAAACCTGTAACTCCTGCCTTTCACACAACTGGTATTCTTTAATATATATTAAAGAGAAACATAAAATTGGTGTCACTAATAAAAGAGAAACATGCAAATTGGTGTCACTCCGCTATGCCCACCAGCCGATCAGGATGAGTTTGCAAATTAACCCAACAAAGATGGCGGTTAATATGCATATGCAGGCATGGAGGGAAGACTGAAGGCTCCAGCCCCAGCGAAGACTGAAGACAACTGAAGACTGAAGAGGCTTGGCTTCTCCGCTGTGGTCAGAGCAAAGGCCTGGGTCCCGGGTGCCGGAGGAAAACTGGTGCCGGCAGCCAGGGAAAGAAAGGCCTATTGCATGAATCTCTTCGTGCAATGGGCCTCTAATATAGACAAACATGGTAATTGACCATACCTTCACTAAGCCTCCCATTGGCTAATCAGCATGATATGTAAATTAACCACCAACAAATCAGAGAGAGGAAGGGAAAGGGAAAGTTAGAAATATCAATGATGAGAGAGAATCATTGATTAGCTGCCTCCTGCACATTCCCTACTGGGGATCAAGACCATAACCTGGGCACATGCCCAGACCAGGAATCAAACTGTGACCTCCTGGTTCCTAGTAAACACTCAACCACTGACCAACAACAACTGGGGGTAACTGACATTCTTATTGCTACATTTTTATTTGTTCTCTTTACTGGAGAATCCCAGGGACACTATTTTAAAGGGAATTTCTTACATACTTCTGAAAGAAATTGGATCTAAGCTTTATTATTACCATTTGTTATTATAGTTAAAATTTATAGTACACCTTTAAACGTATTTATTTATTTTATATATTTTTATTGATTTCAGAGAGGAAGGGAGAGGGAGAGATAGAAACATCAATGATGAGAGAGAACCATTGATTGGCTGCCTTCTGCACACACACACACCCCCCCCCCTCACTGGGGATCAAGCCACAACTTGGCATGTGCCCTTGACCGGAATTGAACCCAGGACCTTCAGTCCGCAGGCCAACGCTCTATCGACTGAGCCCAACCAGCTAGGGCTAAACATATTTATTTAAAATGAAATGTATTTAAATGTACAAAGTATGTTAAATAATGAGATTTCTTGTGATTTTTTTTAATACTACCAGTTTAAAGCAGGAATGCACTTGCTTCACTTTCAATTGAATGTTTCTGGAATTGTTATCAAATATCACATTATCTCACTTAGTTTTGGAATCTAATAGACGAAATGAATTGACCAACAAAATATGGCCTGAAGCACAGAGGCATGGAACAGACTGACACACCTTGCTGTGGGGGTGGAGGGATCAGGAGAGAGAAACCAAAGAGCTTATATACTTATATTCGTAGCCCATGGACACAGACAATAGGGGGTGAAAACCTGGGGTGGGGGACAGTGGGGGCTATGTGGAGGCAGGTAAAGGGAAATGGGAGACATCTGCAATACTGTCAACAATAAAAAAAAAATCTGTATATATTTAAAAAATAATTTTTTTCTTAGCCAGAA